CTCGCCTTGTACCTTGTCTATGCAATTCGAAACAAGGCCACTCTCTCAGTGATACAACTCACATGCTCGGCCGTCAGCTTCGCTCACCGCATGATTGGGGCATCCTGCCCCAGTACTGGCCCTTTCACGTCACAAGTTCAAGAATTCGCCAAGCGACAGTGTCCCCGGCCCAATCGGACCAAGGAACCAGTCTCTTTACATCAAGTGCACGAGATGGCTACTCACTTCATCGGTGCTAACGACCCAGCCACATTCCATAAAGGTCTCATTCCCCTTCTCATGTACGGCGGATTTTTGCGTTACTCCGATCTCGTGGCCATCAACTGGGAGGATATCCAGTTTGAGGATGACGTAATGTGGCTGCTCATCCCGCGCTCCAAAACGGACCAGGCAGGTCAGGGCTCATGGGTTCCTGTTGCTGTTGTTCTTAGGACCCCTTTGCCCTGTCCGATGCACCAAACGCTTCATCCGGTTGGCAGGCTATGGACCCACCACTCCCGGACCCTTAATCCGGGTGTTCGGCGCGGCCGCATGTGGCGTCCCCACCAGCAAGCCGCCATCATACACCACCATACGCAACTGGTGCAAGGAGGCTTTCCAGTCCATCGGCCTGGGTGAGCATCACCTCGGCACCCACTCCTTTCGCAAAGGCGCTGCGACCGTCGCTGCCCACGGAGGCGTAGCGGACCGGCTCTTCAAACGTCTTGGCTGATGGCGCAGCGACACGGCCAAAGAAATGTACGTCACTTGTCACAGGATCGAATGTGTCGAGGAAAGGTTGCACTATCGATCAGTACAAGGCACTTTTATACTTCCATAGTACATCAGGTAACCAGGTTTATCCTATCCAAAGGAATAGACCCTTCTAGAATATAGAATCACCCTGCGTATAGCCACGCGAGGCCATTGGCTTTAAGGGATTACGGCAGGATTACGCTAGATATAGCGCACCAATACATCCCAAGCCTGGTCGGTGATATACTTATAATAGCAGGATAAACCAAAGGTTAATGGGAAAGGAAGAATAGGAACCCAAATGAGATGCGGTAAAAAGAGAAATGAAAAGGGAAGGAAATAAGAAAAGGCCAAGTGGTGCAGCGACACGGCCAAAGAAATGTACGTCACTCCTGCAGTCGACCAACTGGTTGCGGCCTCCCGGAACGTACAAACCCTCGGGTCGGCACCATCCCCGGCACAACATTCTCGAGCTCTTGTACGCCACCGACAGCCATCTCCCTCCATGTCTCAGGTCAACCCAGTGGAATGAGAACGATGCCATTTGCACTACAAGTAGCGAGCTTTCTCAATATATGAAATTTTAAAGTGTTCACACTTTCAAAATTGTGTATTGTGTATGCGAAGCTGCTTGTAACGCAATCTAAGGCATCGTCGAAGCGCGCTATTCGCCCTTCTCCAACCATATAATGGGGTTGGAGGTCATTCTTCCTCCACCCACGTTTTTCATTTTTCCCAGCTCAAGTTCAATCCCCGCCCACCCAACCCGCTTCGTCTACTCTCTTCAACATGCACCGCTTCGGTGGATCGTCCTCGTCATAGACATATCCCAGTGTAGACAGTTTAGAAAGTTTATGCTAATAGATGAATATATTGGGAACTCTTTGTACTTTATACTAGTGGAATGAGAACGATGCCATTTGCACTACAAGTAGCGAGTTTTTTCAAGTCTTTTCTTAAAGCGAGAATGGAGAATAGTGAAGGCGGGCCCAACTTGAAAGGGGGTTGTGTGGGATTTTTCCTAAGGGACCAGCTCCCGTAGCGAGGGGGTTCAGAGTCACTGTTCCTTATTACCCCCGGGTAGGAGGGAAAACTGCCGCACAGGACAGCGATTGGTGCGTGGGAACGACCAACTCTTGCATCCAACCAGAAACAAGGCAAAGGAATCCACATAGGAATACACAGTAGCGAAAGCATCGCACGAGCTGACGAGCATTCAACTGCGATGGTAGGGCAGCCCGCACGGTTGTGCCTATTTCAACTGGTTGCCTGTTTCAACTGGTTCCAACTCGAATTTCAAGTTGGACCTAGGTTCACAACTGGAGCCCGAAGAACTCAGGGCAGTTCACACTAGGCAGGACGTCGTAGCGTAGAATGCGCAGCATTCCCCGCTTATCGTAACTCGTAGCAGCAGCTTGCGCAGATTGTGACGCTCCCCGACTCCCCGTCCCCGAGTCAGTCCTACTGTAAGTAGGCAAACAGTATATGGAGTATCCTGCCATAATGCTGGCGCAAAACACCGCCTTTAGGGCCATACCCCGAGCCCACAGCTAACGACGTACGATCGACGGCAACTCGATTTTGAATGGTGGCTACCGGGCACGCCAGCCATACCAGGCACGCCGGCTAGGGCGTGCAGGCCAGCACGGAGCTCGTTTTCACGAGCAGGCAAACGCCGAGCTGGACGCCACGAGGCGTTCGACGGCAAACGCCGGGCACGGCGTCGAGCAGCTTAGCGCCGAGCGCGGCGGCGAGTAGCTTAGAAGCGAGCGCGGAGGCGAGCAGCTTAGCGCCAAGCACGGCGGCGAGCCGCTCAGCGCCGAACGCGACGGCGAGCCGCTCAGTGCCGAACGTGGCGGTGAGCAGCTTAGTTTACCGCCGCGCACGGCGACGAGCAGTTTAGTGCCGAGCGTGGCGGCAAGCAGCTTAGCGCCGAGCGTGGCGGCGAGCAGCTCAGCGTCGAGCGCAGCGGCGAGCAGCTCAGCGCCGAGTGCGGCAGCGAGCAGCTCAGCGCCGAGCGCGGCGGCGAGCAGCTCAGCGCCGAGCGCGGTGGCGAGCAGCTCAGCGTGCGCGGCGGCGAGCCGCTCAGCGCCGTGAGAAGGGGAGAGGCAGAGAAGGGAAACGGGAGAGAAGGGGATTGGGAAAAGGGGGGTGTGGGAGAGAAGGGGAGCGAGGGAGAAGGGGAGCGAGGGAGAAGGGGAGCGAAAATGAAAGTGTTAATTGGTTAACGAAACCGCTCAGGCGAGTCGTCATAATTTCGTTACGTTAAGCCCTTTTTCGTGAGACCACGAAAAGGGTTTTTCAAATTATATGACTTGCGCGTTTTGAGCCTGCGCTGCTTGCGGAAGTCGAGAACGAGGTGTTACTTTTATTGTCCGCAGTAATTCTGACCAGCCGACAAATTCGCTAAACGTTTTTTAAGAAGCCACATGAGCCCTCACATGACACGCGGCGAAGTCGCTGGTAACCTGGCCCAAAGGCGAATACGCCAAGGCACCCATCGTGAACAGAAAGAGTAAAACGGCCTACGCCACCCCACCTAAAACCGTACGTGCTACTCGATAATCCATTTTGTCCGTAGTGAACCGATTTTGTTCGTCGTAGTCCATATTTGCGAATCGCGGATTTGGAGCATAGAGCATACCCTTTGTAGCAGTTTCATAATTGCTACCGAGCATCAACACCAGGCCTCTCGATAACCTAGGGGTCACCCTGCAGAATCCGAGTCTGCCCGAGATCCAACTCGTCCTGGCTGGGTACCCCTAAAACTTTTTACTGTTTCATAAGGCCAGAGTTCCGACCAGCTCGGAATGTGCCACTCGTGACAATGCCAGGGGGAGCCATTTTTTCTAGGGGTACGAACTTTTACATTAGATTTTGCAGGGCCGTGGGGTGATTTTAGCTTTCCTGTCCATGGACGGGTATCGATATTCTGAATACGTCAAAAGCAGGGCTAGGTCGAAAGTTCACCCTGTTGTCCTTGACAAAGCAGTGTAATTGCCCTGACTTCCTTCGCGAATTTCGCATTCCGCCCAAGCACCACATTTCTGCGCCACAACTTCTGTTGCTGCAAATTGCACGGTCGCAATGCTTGACGAATGGCAACATGTTCGTGGGTTTTCGTCACAGTGAGGCATGAAATTTTCTTGCAGGTTTGACACATGCCCCTCGAAAGTTAATTTCCAGAACATCAGGAAGACGCCTCATTGGCCACGGCCCTGCGGCTCCGTTCGTCCGCTCCTCCATTCGTTATGTGCCCCACATTACACGCGCCAAGGACTTTGAACCTCACACTAGAAAATATAGATGGGCAGGTGGTTTAGACGTAAGCAGAATGATTTTCACGCGGTATAGCGTAGTAATCTTCCTCATTCAATTGTCGAATGTTCAAGCCCAAAAGCATGACGTCCTTTCCACCGCCCGAGCCCGCGGTTGTCACATCAAGCTGTTGATGCTAGACGTAGTCCGCGACAGCGACAGACCAGTGCCGTCACATCGCCATGGCGTCAACCTCAACGTCCGCCAAGCGCTTTCCTTGCTGGTCGAATCGCCGCTTTTTATCTCGCTGCGAGGACGCAAGAGACTAAATGCTGGCCCTAGTCGTCGCAGAAATTTCTGTCGTAACGGCCTCTCTTCTAGCTCTCCGCAGACTCTATCTTGCTTCCGCCACGCGGCCACGAAGCCTTTGCCGCGTTCCCGCAACCGTTCCCGGCCTCCATGGACTTTCTTCGACTAATTCTCGTCTGTAAGGCAACGAAACGATTTATCAATCACTCTCCTTGCTACCCTTATTCGACTATTTTATCATTCACACACAGTGTCCGCGCGTTTGTTTCTACTAACAGCGAGTGCTGTGTGTGCGCTATTACCCCCCCGCAGGTTTGGCGGTGAGGGCAGCGGAGGGCAACACCCTCACGGATCTCGTGAGCCAGCTCGTCCCCGACCTGCCGTCGCTGCCCGCCGTGCAGGTACCCACCATTCCGCCCACCATAACCGTCGACCAGAGCGCGAACGCTGGCAGCATCGCGAACCAGGTGCAGAGCAACACGCAGACGGCCACCGCCAGTGACTCCTCGACCGTCAAGCAAACCAACTCCCAGTCGCAGACGGGCTTCGCGGAGCAGTCTCTCGCCGCGCCCGCCGCTGCCGCCGCGGCGGCGGCTACTGCGGCTCCCCCTCCATGCTTCCCGTTCCTGGCGGACCCGTCTCAGGGCATCCCGTCGAGCATCACGGTCGACGTGCCGCCGCAGTTCCCGTGCGTCATCGACCCGCCCTCCCTGCCGTCGCTGCCGCGCTTCCCGTCTCTGCCCTCCCGGCTGCCCACCATCAGCTTGCGCTTTCGCGGCCTGCATCTGTTTCCGCGTGGCGGCACCGAGCAGGTGCCACTGGGCAGTAGCGCTCCTTAGCTGTCGCTCTCAGGCAACTACCGTCGTCGCCCGGATAGAAGACCTATGGGCCTAGTCCAATGCTACTACCAGTAGTTATCTTACTCGTTGGCCCTGGTTTTCCCATTTTGATCAATGAATTCTCCGGGTCGGTACAGCAAACCACCCTGGAAAAAAGCGAAATCAGTGTTAGGGAGCCTGGGGTAAGTGTCAGACCCGAGGTCGACCCGCGGCCAAGGAGTCGTCACAACCTAACTGCGGGTTTAGTGTACCTGACGGGGCAGCAGCAAAACAGCAAAAAATGTCGCAAATTTCCAAAATTGAGACCTCGCGCATTTCTGTCATAAGCTAATTGGGTCACAGCAGGCCGCTCATAGGGTGCGACATTGTTCAAACATTAACAAACGCAAATTAAATTTAAAAAAAAAAAAAAAAAAAAAAACACGAAAGGGAAAATCTCTCCGGGATGGGCGCTAAGCCAATGAGGCGTGAAAATTAAAATGTAGTTCGTGTGCGCTAATTTGTTTCGAGCATGACATGACTTGTAGACTCGTAATTCGGCGGAAAACTTTTCCGGTAAATACATTTGTTGAATAAATCAAAAGATAACCGGCAATAGATTCGTTGTATTGAAATTAATACAAAATTAAATGCGGCTCTGAGAGTACCTTGAAGTTTTTTTAAACATATTCATTTCCCGAAAACAAACCTCCGTATCTATCTATATATGCTTTTGTTTTCGGGCGACTCGGGAATGACAACAAGTTTATGGCTTGCCTTTTTTGGGGGGCCGCAAATGCGGTAGAGACAAAGCCGCAAATTTTTATCATCGCGGGACGCGCTACACTCTAGGACAAAATTATGTGCATTTGAAACAAAATCGTGTTTTCGTGCTTCTCGAGAAACAAATGTCCAACGAATTTTGATTAGGGCATTTTGTGTTTTTTCGCTCGAACTGCGCTTGGACCTCGGGAAAAATATCGCGCCAGCCACAATGGTGACGAAATCGGGCTAGCGCGGGCAGGAAAACGTTCCGAAACGATCGAGGGTTACTTCTACTGACCATTTGTGGAGCTTTTTTTCTGTAGTTTCTGACAAACGGTGGAACCCGACTGATGAAACATGTTGCGAACTCGCTAATTCTGATTGTTTATATCGTGTCACTGACCGTACATGTTATTGAGGCCCCTAATACTGAGCGCCGATGTATTTTCCCATGCAAATACATAGAGATCAAGTTGCGCAAATATAAAAAATTTCATACAAAAGGAGATCACATATCACATCGAAAGGAGACACCTTCCAGCACTCACTTTCACACCAAACATCAATCCAAAGAGACGGCAACGTCCCGTGCATATGCGCGGCTATTGGTGCATCTGAGGTCGTGTATGAGCTGGGTCCAACGAGATGTGAGCGAGCCAACAAACCGGTCACACTGTGTCGACATGATGAGATGGGCCATGTGGTGAGCTGCTATGAACTCCCCTTGTCCGCCACCACCGGGTGCTGCAGACTGCTGGTGCTCTCGGGAGTGCATGACTGTGAAGTCCGTGAATTTGACAACCGCGTCTTGAAGGGGCTGCAGGGAACATGGCACAACGGGCAGAGAGCATCAGCTTTGGCGTGGTAGGGCAGGGAAGTGGCAGGGCAGCATCCAGCATGCCTCCCATCCATTGCATTCAGTTACATTGCGTGACAAGCAGACCAAATGGCAGACCGACGGAAGGAAGGAAGGGGAGAGAGGGTGCATGCGTACCTGTGCATCGGTGTCCATCCACACATGGTGCATGTCAAGGGAGTAGAGTCTCATTCGGTTCACATGGAACATGAACACTCCACTCGCTGCTGCCACCCACTCCACCCATGCTGCTGCTGCTGCTGCTCCTCCTCCTCCTCCTGCACTGCTGCCGTCCAATAGGCCCAACGAGGCGCTGGACATGTGGACGCCTGTGATTGGTCGAACCATGTACGGCTCTGCTGCGAGCTGCAGCAAATCCTTCTCCTCTGCTTCGCCCACTACTGCATTCAACGACGAATCCACAGCAGAGGGAGCAGCGGCAGTGGTATTGTTAGCCGCAGCAGCAGCGGCAGCGGCAGCGGCAGCGGCAGCAGCAGCAGCAGCAACCGCACAAGAGTTGTTGCTCAGTGGCATGTGCTGATCTGCTGCTGGCCACACCTCACTGCTCAAATCTGGGCCGTTGTATTCCATCACAAGCCGCATCTCCTCCACCTCGTGACTCATATTAAAGTGTCCCTGTGCAGGGTCCACTGACCCTGCGGTGGCAGCAGCAGCAGCAGTGGCTTTAGCAGAGACGGAGCGCAGCAGGTTGGCCTGGTCGACGGTGAAGGATGCGAGGTGGGAGGCGGCATGCATTCCGTACGCCGCATGGCGCTGAGTGTTGGCAATGTGGCACAGGTGCAGGGACGGCCACCGCAGCAGGAAACGCACTGCCTGCGCCCGCCACCAGTGGGCCTGATGGGGTGGTTGGTGTGAGGAGTGAAGAGTGGAGCATGAGAGGGGAGAGGGAGGGGAGGAGGGTGGAGTGGCATGCGATGGCGGAATTGAATAAGGGAATGGGTTGGTGAAGAGGAAAAGAGTGAGGGGGTTGTAAACGTAGGAAGGAGGGGAGGATGACGTAGGAGCGAATGTGAAAGGGAAGAAGAGAGGAGCGAAGTGTGTGAGGGGCAAAACTGAGATGGAACGAACAGGGGAGAGTTGATGAGAAGGCGCGGGATGAGGATGAGATGAGGGCCTTGATGGCAGCACTTCAAGGTGGTGACACCACAGAGCAGCGACTCGAAAGGGCGCGGGTGAACCTGTGCTGTAAAGCAACAAGACCCATGGAAGCTATTGCATATGTGTGCATGCGTGTGTGTGTGCGTGCGTGCGTGTGTGTGTGTGTGTGTGTGTGTGTGTGTGTGTGTGCGTGTGTGTGTGTGTGTGTGCGTGTCGGTGTGTGTGCGTGTGTGTGCGTCTGCGTGTGTGTGCGTGCGTGTGTGTGCCTGTGGCGGTGTGTCGGTTTGTGCGTGCAAAGAGAGACACACACAAGAAACGAGTGGGGAAAGCGAGTCCGCAAGCAGGAGGACAGAGCAGCAGCACACCTTGAGCTGTGTGTCGCTTGCTGCAGTCGCTGCACCATTCTCCAGCAGTGAATACCCGCCCTCCTTGTGAGGGCTGCCCCATCGGCTGCACGCACACAGAAGCAAGGCGTGCAGGCATGGATACACGCGTGCTGTGATCGTCACCCAGGCATGTGAGCATCCACAGTAGCTCTCAGCAGCTGCCATTCACGTGGTACTTTCACATGCTTTCAGACCCTTGCAGTGAGCATTGGGGCACAGTGGAGCCGACAGCACAGCGAGCGGGGTGAAGTGCAACAACCAGAGTGCCACTCCCAGCGAGCAAACGTCGATCCTACCCTCCTCGATTCCCCCATCCCCTCCTCTGCTCCACGCTCGTGCCTCGTTTCGCCTCGCACACCCCATGCCTATCGCAGCTACACATGACACCGCCTTGCCACGCACCCAACGCTATGCTGCAAATGGAGGAGGTGAGGGCGGTCACTGTTTGATGCATGGAACATTCATGCTTCATTTCTCCCTCCTGTCCCTCTCTTTCCCCTTCCCTCCCCCCGCCACCCATACCCCCACGCCCCCCCTTCGCCCCTCCCCTCTCCCCTCGCTCACCTGACGTCCACGTGTTGCAGCAGTGCATCGGCATCGACACCCTCCCCCACGCACACCACGTCATCCGCCCCTCTCGCCGCCCCCTCCACGTCCTCGCCGCCCCCGTTGCCTCCACTGCTGCTGCTCGCCCCCTCGCCCCGGCATGTGGCGGGCACGCGTGCAGCCGCTGAGGCGGAGCATGCCGCAGAGGTGATGGGCGCGAAGAAACACGCCCAGTCCGCGTCCTGGCGCATGGCTGGCGGAAGGGGGGCGCGCAGGGGGGGGGGGGGGGAGGGAGGGAGGGAGGGAGGGAGGGAGGGAGGGAGGGAGGGAGGGAGGGAGGGGAGGGGTATGGTGGGGAGACGGCAAGGGGCGTGGTGCTAGGGTGGGAACCGGGTGGATTCCATAAGAGAGTCACTTAGAGAGCAGCACTGCAGCACTGTTCACTGAATAATAACAGTGCCCTGCAGCAACCCTGCAGTTCTTTGCGCGCGCCAATCTGCCCATTGCTAATCCCGCCTTTCCCCTCGCCACCCCCACCCACCACTTCACCTGCGCATGCCGTGGCGTTGGCAGCCGGGGCGAAGGAGCCCGGCATGGGCACGAGCACGCGGTTGTGTGCCATGGCCACGCCCAGCAGCGCCGCCATGCCCTGCACCCGCCCCGCCGTGACCTCCTTCCACGCCCCCTCGCCCCCCCCTCCCGCATCCCATGCATCACCACCCTCACCACCGCCACCGGCACTACCACCCGTTTCTGCTGCCGCCCCTGCTGCTCCTGTTGCCCCGGCGGAGGGAGCAGGCGCGGGAGCACTAGGGGAGGCAGCTAGCGGTGTAGCGGCAGCAGCAGGTGGGGGGAGAGAGGAGCGCAGGCGGCGCCAGTCGACGAGCAGCAGGTGTTGCGAGTGGCAGGGGCCGGGCGGGAACTGGTGCTGCCAGATGTCCCTCTGCGCGCGCCGAGTCATGGGCACACTGCTGCTGTCAGGACCCCGCACCTGGGGAGGGGGGAAGTTAAGGGTGCAGGGGAGGGGTGTTAGGGGTTGGTGGAGGGGGATGTAGCGAGGGACGAGAGTGGGATGAGGGTGGGGGGATTGCGAGGGGTGCGGAGGCGTGGTAGGGCACGGACATGCGTGCATAGGAGCGTGGTGTCACAGGCAGCCAAGTGCGGCAGCAAAGAGGAGCACGCAGCACGCCAGCACAGCACCACGGCACCACGGCACCATGGCATAGCCTGATTCTTTAAAAATCATTTTCAAAATTTATCCACCAGTCTCCCCCCCCCTCCCCCCTTCAATGATTCCCCCACGGTTGGCATGAAAGTCCCTACCCATGCGGGTCGCGCCTCGCACCCGTCCGCGCCACTCCAAGGTGCTGCTTTCTCCGCCTCTCGCGCCTCCGCGCGCTCCCTGCGCGCCACGCCCGCCGCGCAATCCTCCAGGTGCGGCGCCGCTGGCACGTGCGCGGGCAGCGCGAGAGGCGACGGCGGCAGCAGGGCGGGGGACGACAGCCCGTACGCGCTCTCCCACGCCTGGGGGGGGAGAGGTTGGTGGGGGGGGTTAGGTGGGGGTGAGGGAGCAGGGCGCAAGAAAGGTCAGGGAGAAAGGGGCGGGGAGGAGGACGATGGCGGGCACGTTGGGAAGGCGAGGGCGGTAGGACGCCGGGGAGCGTGATACTTCTGCGATTTAAGAGGCGCCTCAAAACTCGTCTCAATTCTGGGGAGCGTGAAAGTTTGCGGAGCGCGGGCGAGAAGGTTGGATAGGAAGGGGGCGCGAGGATCGGCGGAAGGGATGGATGCTGGCGGGGTGAGGTGATATCATGCTGCTGCGGGAATAGCACCGCCACTGCCACGTGGCAGTATGCCGGCCGCCCACACCCACCCGGTACAGTGACATGGTGTGCTCCTCCCCCTGGAGCCTGCGCTCCGCCCTGTGCGCGCGCCCTCCGCGCGACGGCGGGGCAGCGCCGCGCGCATGGGAGAGGGCGAGGAAGAGGCACGCGAGGAGGATGGCGGGGGGATTGGCGCCGCCTGCACTCCCACTTCTACTACTTGCACAAAGCTTACGACATGAAGTGTGACGCCGATTCGTACCGGGTACAAGCTGTCGCGCTATTCTAGCTACGCTCTTATGGGGGCCATGAGGCGACGAATGCGACGCTGTCATCGTGCGGTGCGAAGCGGTTGGTGAAATCTGAAACTACGAGAAAATAAGAGGAGAATGGGCGGGTATAACTGGTGAAGGGCGAGAAAGAAGGGTGAAGTAACGGCTGGTGCTGGTGAGGCAGGGTGGAGGCAGATGAGACCAGATTCCAATTTTCGACATTGACGGACGGACTCGCATTGACCTGCAAATTGACGGCCTTGACGAGCACTGTAGACCTCATCTGTGACGCGCTCTAACAGCCTTGCAAGTCCCAAGTGCAAATGGAAAACGGCAAATGAGAAACGAATGCAAGGTCACACCCAAACTAGCTTCCCTCACCTCATTATTTTTACATACCCGACACGGCTTGCCATTGAACAGTACTAATCTACCATCAACCTATGGCTAGCCTATCCTACGCCACTCTCATCTCAATCCTTATACGAGAATTGATCCTTCTGGGCGCGTTTGACGGGTGGTGGCGCTGTCCCATTGCGAGGCATCAGGCCCGCTCGATACCCAAACCGCGGCCACGGCTCCTTCTTATCCTCAAACCCGTACCTCTGGCCGTCCACAATATACGGCCACCCAGAGCCCTCCTGCGCCACCCGAACCAGGCGCTCAGGTTCGGGCTGGGGGAGAGTCCATGCCTTGGCGGGGTACTGGAAGGTCTTCTCTGCCTCGGCGTGCATGTGCCACACAAACACGTCCGTGGCGTCCCGGGCTATGGGCTGCAGGTATGCTGGTGACGGCAGCAGGCGCGAGAGAAACGTGGTTTCCAGGTAGCTGAGAGGAGGTGGGGGCATGTTGAAGGGGGAAGAGGGGGGTTGGGGAGAGAGGGGGAGAGGGAGGGGACGGCATAGACTTGGGAAAGATACGGGAGGGACAGATGCTGCTAACTAAGGGGGGGGAGGGGGGAGGGGGGGAAGTGGCTGTGCAAGGAAGCAACGTTAAGGGTGAACGGAATGTGTCCATCTATGGTCAAAAGAGCGAGTGGAGAAAAGGATTTGCAAGGGAGGAGGTGAGTGGGAGGAGCACTGACCCGCCCCAGATGGGCTGGAAGCGAATGGGGTGGCGGGGATAGCCGGGGATAGAGGTCAGGCGTGTCCACAGCAGACGAGTGCTGCGAGGGTGAGCGGGCAAACCAGGGGGGCAGGAGGAGGTGGGGGGTGCAGGGAGGATATTAGACGATGCTGAGCAGAGAGGTGTATCATGTGACGAGATGTGCTCGCATTAAATCCTCTGTCTGCAATAAACACTACCGTCTCGCAGACCCCAAATCCTTAAACTTCCCCCACTCCCTCCCTTTCTCCCTCTCCTCTCCCTCCCTCATTCCATTCACCCCACACCCCTCCCCCACGCTCTCCCCTTCCCCCGGCCCCATCCCTCAGCCTTCCTCTCTCCCCCCATCCCCCACCTGCCCCTCTCCCCCCACCGCCCACCTGAACGCAAACCCGGCCATGTCAGTGCAGAAGGAGCGGTACGCACCCCCGCGCTTGCCCTTGGGGATGGACCACTCGAAGGTCTCCCACCCCACCACGCGCGGCACGCCATCCGCCCCGCGCTGCACG